GAAAAGAAAAAAAAGAAAATGTGTTTTCGTGTTACGGAAGCCTCATATAAGTAACGATTTAAATTATAAACATTTTCAAAAATATTTGATTTTTATATTAATATTCTTCAAATCATTATTAGCCTGTATGCAAAAGTGACCCATCTGAAAAGTTGCAAATGTCTGCGTATTAACCCTTGATTTATATTTTCAAAAAAAAACAATGTCAGGTTAGTATGAGGTTCGGAGATATCACCAGACAACCCTGAACTCATAACGTAGTGTCTGTACGTAGTCCATATTCCGAATGATAGTGTATGTTTAAACAATAAAAGCGCACAAATCTTCCCATGGAATGTCAGCACTACCGATTGCAATGTATCATATAACAATGGTCCAACTAATTTAATATTAAGGACGTCGATGTAGAATTATTATATAAGTGTGTTCATTTAAATCAACAACTTCATCACAAGATAAATGCATATGTTCCATTTTTTTCAGATGCATTGACTTTGTACAGTGGCAAATGTTAGTCGCATATCCCTATACCACCCCATATCAATGCTATAAGTATCGGTGAAGAAGCGTAAATCGTTTGTTCTTGTTCAGTGTTAGAGCAACCTAATATGTCTACAAAATAGATGTTTTCATTTTCTATGTAGCAACATTCCAGCATACGGAGTATATATCTCCAAATTGATACGATATTCCCGGGCTTGTATTTCCTATCATGATTTCCTTGATAGAGAGTTGCTGTTCACAAAGAATCTATCAAACCAAGAGTTCCAAATGGTGAAGTTGAAATCATCCCTTCGTAAATTTTACGGACGCCATCACTGTAGTTTAATCGTTATGGAATAACCGTTTTACAGATGATAGCGGATATTTTCTTTATGTCGTAACTACAACCCCCTTCCCTTTTCACGAATATGTCCTACCGAATTAGACTATTTACCGGGTTTGTTATAACATGAGCAACACGACGGATGCCATATGTGGAGCAGTATCTGCTTACCCTTTCCGGAGCATCTGAGATCAACCCCAGTTTTTGGTGGGGTTCGTGTTGCTTAGTCTTTAGTTTTCTATGTTGTGTATTGTGTTCTATTATTTGTCTGTTTGTCTTTTTCTTTTTTAGCTATGGTGTTGTCAGTTCATTTTCGATCTATGAGTTTGACTGTCCCTCTGGTATCTTTCGTCCCTCTATTGAAAACGTGCTAAAACAATTCAGCAGTCAAAGAAGATAATCGTCTTATTCAGAAAATCACTCAAACTTCATACCGATCAGTCTTTGATATTATTTCGAAAAGATGAGAGACATGAAGCAAATACTGATTTTGTTAAACATGGCTTGTCCCATTCACTACAAACTGCTCAGAGTCTGAAAAGACAAGTTTTTGTGCTCGACCAGTAAAGTCGAGCACAGATTTTGCTCGACTAGACTCGACATTGTCTCGACAGTACTTAACTGTACTTAACTGTACTCGACTTTGGTCTCGACTTTACTTAATAAGTCTGATTCAGTACTTGATGATCTTGGTGTAGTCTGAAATGGTCTCGACCAAGGCTCGACCTGTCTCAACCTGTCTCGACTAGTCTCGACTCAGTCTCGACCTGTCTCGACCAGTCTTGACTCAGTCTCGACCAGTCTTGACTCAGTCTCGACCAGTCTCGACCTGTCTCGACTAGTCTTGACCTTCAAATTTAGTCTTGATTGGTCTGAATCAGCCCATCTAACTAAATTAAATATTGATCTTACAAAATTCCAGGTTATTTGGTAGTTGGTTCATTGCTGTGAAATTAAAGAATTTAATTAATAGGTTAAAAAAAACAAGCAAGAGTTTTCAGTTTTGATTAAATTCAGATAATCATCTTTAATTATTTTCTATAACTTTTTCAAATCAACTTGGATTTCATCAAACTATACAGCTATCTCAATTATACATAGATCTTACTGAATCCAAGGTCATTATGTAGTTTGGTGTGTTGCTGTCAAATTTATGGATTTAATTAATAGGTAAAAAAAGCTAGAATTTTCAGTCGGACTGCATTCAGATAGTTAACTTTAAATTTGTTTATTACTTTTTCAAAATATCTTGAATTTTCATCAAACTATACAGCTATCTCAGTTGTATATTGTTCTTACTAACTCCCAGGTTGTTATGTTGTTTGGCATATTGCTGTTAAATTTAAGGATTGAATTAATCAAGGTAAAAAAAGCTAGAATTTTCAGATTGGACTAAATTCAGATAGTTATCTTTAAATTTTTTTATAACTATTTTAAAGCAACTTGGGTTTTCATCAAAATCTACAGCTATCTCCATTATATAATTATCTTAAAAAATACCAGGTTATTTGTTAATTTGGTTTATTACCATGATTACTGTCAATTTTAAATATTTAAATTATAAGTATCTGTCTGAATTTAGTCAAAACTGATAATTTCAGCCTTTTTTACCTATTACCTAAGTCCTTAAATTTGACAGCAATACACTAAAATACAAATCAACCTGTCATTCTGTAAGATAAATATATGATAAAGATAGCTGAAAAGTTTGATGAAAATCCATATTGATTTGAAAAAGTTATAAAAAAATTTAAAGGTGACTATAAGAATTCAATGCGAATTTAAAAAATTAACGGTTAAAATAAATTTCTCTTTAACTGACATGGCAACAGCCATAATAAGATAAAGATATATATAAAAACAGATTTTTACATCCTTACATGATTCTCAGATTTATCAAATAGAGATAGTTAAATCAAATTATCTTATATGGTTTGGCATGTGTTTTTTTTTTTTCTTAAACACAATTTTCCTAAATTCTTTTAAAAACACTACATAGGTTTCATGGTTACATACAATAGTTATATAATTATCTTTTTAATGAGGTAACAACAGCCAACAAAATCACTGTTTAATAAAATTTAGAATGGAAATGGGGAATATGTCAAAGAGACAGCAACCTGACCAAAGAGCAGACAACACACGAAGGCCACCAATGGGTCTTCAACACAGCGAGAAAATCCTGCACCCGTAACCTTATATTAGAAATATATCTATTATTATAATGTGGGATATAGTATATATAATATATATCAAAAGCGGATAAAAAAATATAGAAATTAATAAAATCGTTCGTCTGATTAGTGGTGAAGTATAAAGTAATACCTCCTGCTTGGGGCAAAAACTCATTAAAAAGATTACAACCTGGTCAGAGAGTATTAAATTCTAAATAACATTCATTCAAAATTGCAACATCCTTGTTTAACTTAAATTGCAAGGCCTTTTGCATTATAGATAAGTAATACACGAGTTTAAGAAAAACAGGGCTTTCTTTTTACCTGTAAAACACACATATACTGATGTAATTAAACCTTATTAAAGTGCTTCTTGTATGCCATGTCTTTAATTTTGACAAAAATTATTTAAAAAGGTTATCAAGGATTCCTATGAAAGTTCTATTATTATGATTATATTAAATTCTTGTTTTCACAAAACAAAGGTGGCATTTTTAACATTTTATAATTTTTTCAAATCAGCTTTGATTTTCATCAAACTTTTCAGCTATCTTTATTATATATTTATCTTACAAAATGCCAGGTTGTTTTGTATGTTGGTGTATAGCTGTCAAATTTAAGGACTTAGGTAAAGGGTAAAAAAGGCTGAAATATTTTAATTTGACAGCAATAATTAACAAATAACCTGGTATTTTGTAAGATAAATATATAATGGAGATAGCTGTAGTTTTAATGAAAATCCAAGTTGCTTTGAAATAGTTTAAAAAATTTAAAGATGACTGTCTGAATTTAGTCCAAACTGAAAATGCTAGCTTTTTTTACCTTGATTAATTAAATCCTTAAATTTGACAGCAATAAACCAAAGTACCAAACAACCTGGTATTCTATAAGATCAATATATAATTGAGATAGCTGTATAATTTGATGAAAATCCAAGTTGATTTGAAAAAGTCTGGCTTTGACTATACTTTATGTCCGTTTTCGGATAATTAGGTTTTCAACATTATAAGAATATTTGAATGATTTAAATTAACTTATTTAAATTAAGTTTTAAATATGTTGGCGTCAAGCATCGCTAAAGAGGCGTTAAATGCAAAAACGCACATCTGGTGCAGTGACATTAGTCATATAGTCATTTTATAAAATTTACTGTTTGCAAAAGTATAAATTATTCTAAATAATAAGGATGTTCTTGTCCCAGGCAGAAAACCCTGGCCGTGTTAGGCGCAACTTTTTGGACGTTTTGGTCCTCGGTGCTCTTCAGCTTTGTACTTGTTTTGGCTTTCAAACTTTTTTCATTTGAGCGTCACTGGTTAGTCTTGTGTGGACAAGACGCACGTCTGGCGTATTAAATTTTAAACCTAGTACCTTTTGTTAGCTATTATTCGTGTGTTTCTTTGTCCAATATGTTCTCCCATTTATTTGTATTGTAGTCATGTCATGTAATGTTGTCGTTTTAATGTTATTTTTATCATTGCCATAAAAGCGGGAGGTTTGGCATGCCACAAAACCAGGTTCAACCCACCATTTTTTTCTTAAAATGTCCTGTACCAAGTCAGGAAAATGGCCATTGTTACATTATAGTTCGTTTCTGTGTGTGTTACATTCTAATGTTGTGTTTTTGTTGTGTCGTTGTTCTCTTCTTATATTTGATGCGTTTCCATCAGTTTTGGTTTGTAACCCAGATTTGTTTTTATCTCTATCGATTAATGAGTTTCGAACAGCGGTATACTACTGTTTCCTTTATTGGTACCGATAATGTTATCATTGACAAAGATAACATTTAAACAAGTAAATTAATAATACCAAACTAAATATTTTCAGGTTGTGGTATAACAATGTATAAGGTCTATGTTTTTTTGTATTTAAAATTAAATATGAAAAAACTTTAGGTATACTTGTTTCGTATCCATAAACACGCCCTGATAGCAAGTACATTTTAGCAGATATAACCAGTATATGTGTTTCTATCTTATTTATAGTCAAAGTCAAACGATCAGTAAATGTAATTCCAAAATGAACTTTATTTTGGTTTATACTGTTATAAACATATCATGTTCGAAGGCTTTGAGTACAACACACGTGTCAATTATAAAGTGTGTAGTTAATTTGTCTCAATTTATCAATACAGTATCGTATTTTGCTCAAATTTATAAGAAACTAAGAATTATTTGAGTAGAAGATTGGTTAGACTTTATTCAAACGATAAAACTTACATCACACCTTAACAAATTTTAGTTTCCTTTCTTTTCTCGGAGGAACCATTTCGTTATTATGCTTCAAAGCACTTGCATAGCACTGATAGTTTGCGTCCTCTTTGTTTTCTGATATCTGATTAAATATTCCAGGTATTGTAAATGAATCAGATAATGTCTTTGATGGAATTACATATTTTACGCTAAGGATATGATTTAAATCTTGTAATTGATTTTTTTTTCTTATCATCAAGATGATGACAAGTTAAGTTTGTATGGCGGAGAGAGATTACCATCAACTGCTGTACTGGTATCTGATTCAATCTCTTTCTGTTGTTATACTTTTGGTATTATTGATGAATGGTGTAAGAATCCGGATCAGGTCTAAATTGTGGTTACCTTGTATTTAAATGTCATACATGTAACAGAATGAAGTTAAATCTTATGATCATAATTTTCTTATTGACTGATATTAAATAACACATATTTCATTGTCTGCTTTTGCTGACAGATTATATCAAAATCTCTGTAAGTTTTAATTTTCTTGCTTTGGCTGAAAGGCATATAACACCATCACATTGCAAAGCTGTATCATAGCAATGATAGGCTGCACCCTTCTCACCAGATATCTCATAGCACACACCAAGTATAGTTATTGAATACGATAACGAATTCGATAATTTAGTATTTCTATTTGTCATCGTTTTGCATAAATCACGTAAAGCTTGTTGCCGCTTGATAATATCACGAAGATGATGAAAGCATAAAAATCTTAGGCAGTGAGACATACCAGTAGGCTGCACACATAGGTATTGGTCTTTAACCTCCAACTGTAGTTCCCTTGGTATTAATGATGAGTGCTGTATGTATATAACAGGTCTTACAGTTTTCATTCTCATCCTGTCATTCAGTGTCATTGTTGGATGTACATCATTTCTGTAATTTTTTACATCTCCTTCATTGTAATAATTATAACCTAATAATATCATAGGAGGTTCACATATCGACAGAACATAATCCGTTATTCTTAGTGTTACATCATACTGTCCCGTTACATAATAAAACGACGCGTATAACAACCATCCCGTTACAGCATCCGCCTTGAGACCGTCTTGTAAATGTCTATGAAACCGTTTGTGTATGTTGTATGTGTCAGTCGTTATGGTTGGTCTTGGTAGTAATTGTGCTGCCTTTTGACTTATTTCAGCATAAAAATGTTTACAAACATCAATAATGAAGGTTGAAGATTTGGACTTAATTAAGGATTCAATATATATCAGTGAGTTTAAACATCGAGGAATGTCTCGAGTAGAAACTGGCCTACATATCTTGTAAAAAAAGAAGTCCAACTCAATGAAGGAAAATTCATTCTTTGTACTAAATAAAGGATATTTTTCATGGTCGTTGAAATGGAAATTCTGTATCAAACAATCCATTCCATCAATTGTTATGCTATGCAAAACTTGTATTAATATTGCATTGTTATCCGGACAGATCTTTCCATGGAACATGTTGTGGTCAGGAATAAAATAGTTCGGACAGAAACAGTTGTTCACCCATAAAATCAATTTATTAATGCAGAGAGTGAAACAATGTAACAATCCAGGTGATTGAAACGTTTTAATATCAACTTCCTCTGAGACCCAGAATAAGGCCGTCTTCAAAAAGTAAGAGCACAATAAACCATTGGCATGATCATTTGCGTTAATGATACGTTTTAATGTTAATTTGAGGAGACCATAACATAAGAGTTGAGTGTAATTGAACGAATGTATAAGATGTTTTTCGGCCACAGAGAAAGATAATCTCCATAATACATCACAATCGGGGAGAATCCTTGGTCCAATAGGTACTAGCAAACAACCATATTCTATAACCTTATCAATAGTGGAATTAGGGGGCCATTGGTGTCGATAACGTGACGCCCATTGCATTGCTTTGAACGGAAGATATTTACTTCGAAGACAGAATGCATAATCCATGTATTGATTTTTATCCGATAAACAGGGCCCGTGTGATGATAGCTGAAGCTGTGGATATCGCCGATTTATATTATTTATAAATTTGGTGATTGATAAATATAAACCTTTTCCAGTACTTTCAAAGCATTTATATGTTATAAAATCATTTTCTCCGTCCCCTCCTGCTATTAATCGGAGTCTAGTAAATCCAGGAAGATCATTATCAGTCTCCATAACAAGTGTTGTACGTTGTACTGGGAGTTTGATATTCCTTACATCTCTTATTACGTCAACGGTTTCCATGACAAACATGATATCTATGTCACTACCTGGTAAATCAAATCCTTCTGATAAACTTCCACTCGATTTTATTATTTCCGACACAGCTATATTATTTATTCTATCTTTTATGATAAATAATTGTTGTCTTTTACGTATGTCTATTTCAGTACCAACTGTATTCACTAAGTATTCATACAAGTGTCTTTCCTTTGAATCACTGTCATTACAGGACATGTGCACTGTAAAACAAATATCTATTCAATACATTATTTGACAATCTTTTTTACCTGTGTGTATAGAAGGTTATATCACTGCTATTCATCGCAAAATGTATAATCAAAAACACTCCAATGACATTTCAGAAAAACATTATAAAACATACCAATGAGAAATTTAACAATTGACACAATGAACAAGCATTCCGTGTATGCTACCTCGAGTTTACTCTTATTTAATAACACATTAAAATTGATTAAAATTGTGATTTTTGTATTGTATCTCGGATCTAAAGTTCACTGTTTTATTATTTGATACAATACCTCCTATGCATAAAACATATTTTAATTAACATGCTCGGAGTTTACCTATAACATCCAGCGGATTCAGCATTCGGGCTCTTTTAAACTTATGTATCGTGTTTTCTTAATTATGTCCGAAACAAGGATCTGTTATAAAGCATAAGGATTCGACACATATATCCAACCTGATATCAATCATTACATGTCTCAAAGGGCAGCATGTGTTTAAAGGCAGGCACACATTTTACGTGGACTGGACAGACCTGTTAATATTCTCATTAATTTGTCGTGAAACATGTTTTTTAAGACTTGAACACTAGTCTATTGTTGAAGACTTCATGTGATAACTATTTGTTTTTTGTGTGCCTCGATTGCTGTCTATTTGAAATTTACAAACCTTATGGTTTCAACTCCTAGCTCAAAACTTATACTCGTACACGTTTATTTAGTATAAGTAGACGAAAATCAAGGACATTGTATACTAGTATTATAATATGGCATGAAATTGATGCACAGAAACAAAGAAAAGAAGAAAAAAATCTTTTTTGTAGTTATATATTCAGAGTTCCAGTTTGTCTTAGATAAACAAACATTGAGGATTAAAGAAACTATATTCTCATTAATTAAATCAAATTTATAAAGGGTGTTTACGTTTAAAATAAACCAATGATAGTGTAATCTTCCGTGCAGTTGTTATTTCTGATGATCTTCGAAGGTGTGCATCATTTGGATTTTATTGTTTGCGCAATGTTGTTTCCCTTTTACTCCCTTTTGAGAAGATTGTTTACACAGTATCATAAAGTTTTTAAAAAATCTATTTCGAGTCCAAAAAAAGTAGTCATGCTTGCATTTGACGGATATTTGGCACTCTTTCCCAAAAAATCCGATAAAACTAAAATGTTTAGGAGCCTTTTATTTTGTATCGTTAGATTGATGACTCGAAAACAAACGACTCACATTTGCCTAATATGAGTTGCTATGGTTTTAGTATCTCAAACAGTGGTTTCTCTCCTGTGACAGACACAATTATTTGATAATCTTAGTATAGAATTTATACTCTATATAATGGAACATAACAGAAATCATATTCGAAGACATATTTTCCCGCAATTTTGAAATATTTGCGATTATGTTATTAAACAAGCTCGTGTTGTCGGTTTATTGTAAACAATTAATAGTCCATCATGCTTTGCAGTTCATTCAATGGATTGGTCAAAGTTTGTAGTGTATCCAACCTGATTTATAATAATGAATAGCCGAATGCAACGTATCAATACTGTATCGTTTCATTAGCATCACATGATACAACCGGGCAGCAACCTCTTCATTCCGGAGCTCCTGCATTTATTCCTAACTTCCAGTGAAGTTTCTGTTCTTCCGACAAAATGTTCTGCTCAATTTTTTGTAAACTAGTTTGTCTCTATGTTGTTTTTCGTTTTATTCATAAATATTAAAAAATAAACAATGTAATTACCTTTTATGCAATCTGTACTGTTCTCTAAGTATTCCAGATAATCATCTGAGGTTTTGTCAGGATACCGTATGTTTAGTATGTACTGTTCCTGTGCTTTTCTTTTGTCTAAACAAGCTTTATAAACTCGGTCAAACTGTCTGATTGTCAGACCGAAAACGTCATTTGAGATAATGATACCTCCGTCTTCAGATTGGTAAACTAATGGTGTGTATCTGTGCCTTCCAGGGTAAGGAAAACGTTTGACGCCATATTTCTTCCAGTACGTTATTTTTCTCAATCCATGTACATTTTGATCACTCCCATTTTCATCGTTTCGGGGGTTTCGGTTCATTTTGGCTGTAAATTATCAATTATATCTACTTAGCAATGCTATGAAATATTGACATTACATTTCTATAAAAGTAGCTCTTTCTAATAAATGATATATTTATTTTATTTCTTGTTTAGCAGGTGTCTTAATGTAGTAAGAAGTTAAAATGTCAGCATGCCATATAAATCTGGTGACTTTAGGATTATGCTAATTGTTTTCTTTTTCTTTCCGTTTGTTGGTAATGGGACTAAAGGATTCTTTAATCAATTAGTTTTATGCACTTTCCCTTTTTGATTTTAACATCAGGCTCGCCATTTTTATTATATCTTTTCAATATATTTTGCCCGTATATAGAATTGTAATATATCAAAAGTTAAACGAAATCATCTACGATATAACTTATGTCTAATCTGAGAAAAATAGTTATTGAAATAACCAACTTACCCTAGCTACATATAATTTTGCTTGTGTTTTGAAAAACAAAATGGACGCTTGGATCAAAGCCAACAGGAATTTCCATTTTCGATATCAACATTTACGCAGTCTATGTATAAAACATTAAAGGTTGTTGTTATTTAAAGTTTGTACACTCAACGCTTTGTTACACATCCATTTTAAGATATTCGATCATACAAATAAATCTAAATACACTAACTGCACTCGAATGTGAAATAGTTAAAAAAGTACTATTAAATGATGATTTTTTTTTTCGTGTTACAGAACCCTTAAACAAATAAGGATTTAAAAAGTAAACACTTGAAAAACAAACAGTATTATTTATTTACTCACATGAAACAACCCGGGATGCCGTATTCAGTACGTAGGTGAAACTGGACGATATTTATCTAAACGCACGCAAGAACACCTGTATCGTTTTAAAAGACCCAATAAATTCAAAAGTATCATTTATCAACATCTCAAAAAGCACAATCATCCTATTAAATATTTAATAGTTCAACCTTTAGAAGTAGTAAATAAGCAGCCTGGTGAATCTCATTCAAAGTTTGTACGATCGCGGAAAATAATTGAATTAAATTGGATTAAAAATTACAGACAGTCTACCCTCTCGGTCTTAATGATAATATCATGGGAATTGGTAATATATCAAGAACCGATTCTGTTAACATTTTGGATATAGTTTCTAAAACTGTTCGTAAAAACCGTTCTCATGGGCGTAGAAAAAATCGCAATCAAAGAAAATTTCGGACCAACCATACAAATATTTCGGACCTAATTTCTATTTCAAAAAACAACGGCAGACATTATCTATTAACCAAGCTCTGTTCTTTACCTATAAATAAATTAAATAAAATTTTAGAGGAATGCAACACAATTTCATATTGCAGTCCTAAGTATGAAATCGTTCAAATTATAAAGGCATATTGTTATTCTAAACTGTTTCCCAAAATTGATCGCCCTGAAGATCATAAAAAACATTTTATTAAAATAAAATATGTCAATAAAGGTTTTGATTTTGTAAATATGGCCGGTATTTTTAACGACCATTCTGTTAAAGAACAAATTCCTGGATATTTTGATAGTACTGAACTCCCTCTTATTTGTTATATTTACAAGTAATCTACCCGAAAATTTGTGTTTAATTATAGCCAAGTCTGTAAAGATGTATATATCAGTGAAAATACACCTCCGTCATGTAATTGTAGTAATTCCGAATACACTTATGGCCCCATTTCCCATGTTATAACAGGAGACCTTAACATCGTTCGCGACCGAGAGTTAAAATCATTCCTCAGTAAAGGACCATAATATCGTCTGCCGTCAATTATTAATTGGAATGAGTGTCGTAATATCATCCACGACTCACTTTGGGCTTACTGTTTGTAATGGATAAAACGGGAAAAAGCTGACAAAAAATCTTTGGACTCTTTTTTTAATTCAGTAATGAAGATAGTTGATATACGTATACAACATTTTAAAGAACATTTTACTCTTAACAACAACCATAAAAATCCTATCTCTCGTATCAAACATAAACTAAAAGAACTAGCCAAGGAATTTGTTTTTGTCCCGGCTGATAAAGCTGCTAATAATATCATTATAGTTTGACGTAAATTGTACATTGAGGTTCTGCAAAAGGAAATCACGAATTCACAAACATTCCAACTGACTTCATTTTCAGAAAACGATATCGGTAACAAACATAAACTATTAGCTACTTCTTTACAAGCAGAACCAAATACAATTAAAGTACTGGCATCCGAAGCTACACAAATCACCTTACAAATATAGATTTATTTCGTCTTCAAGTCATTGTTCCACTACTAAATTGTCTATTCTACTTACTAGTACACTTGGTACAATCAAAAACCTGATAATAAATTGTTCAAATAAGGCCTTTGAAAATAGTGGAATTAACTACTTTTGGAGTGTCAAAAACTCGTTGGAAGTACTTGATAAATTGCATGCATATATTGGTGATTTTGAATCTGTTCAAAGTTTTGATTTTTCTACCCTATATACCACTTTGCCTCATATTCTTGTTAAGAAAAAAATTCACACACCTAATTAAATTGGCATTTAAAAAGTCGGAATGCGAATACATATGTTCAAACTCTTTTAGGTCATTTTTTAGTAGCAACAAACAAAAGAGCTATGTCAATTGGACATGCTTTGATACTATATCTGCCCTTGAATTTTTACTTGATAACATTTTTGTTCGCTTTGGAGATTCCGTATATCGTCAAGTTATCGGAATTCCAATGGGGACTAACTGTGCACCACTTATTGCGGACCTGTTTTTGTATTGTTATGAGTTACAATTTATGACTAAAATCAGCAAAGACCCATCGAAACAACATCTGATACAAAAATTTAACAATACTTTTAGATATTTGGATGATATATTGGCTCTCAATAATGACAACTTTAGTATGTATACTAAAGAAATTTATCCTGTTGAACTTACTTTAAATCAAGCTAATACTAACAATGACCACTGTCTTTTCCTCGATCTTGATATCTATATCATTAACAGGAAGCTTAATACAAAAATTTATGATAAAAGAGATGATTTTTCATATCCTATCGTTAATCATCCATTTTTAGATGGTGACGTTCCCTTGTCACTATCTTATGGTGTTTATATATCTCAACTTGTACGATTCGCTCGTGTATGTAACAACGTATTAGATTTTAGCGAGAGAAATTTATATATTAATGAAAAATTATTACACCAGGGTTTTCGATATCATAAACTAGTCAAAACATTTACTAAATTTTATCATCGGTATAAGGACATCATTCGTAAATATAACTCAACATGCAGACATCTTATACGTTCGGGTATTTCACATCCAATCTTTTATGGTAATATTCTTTACAAAGCACACAAATGTCAGTATTCACCTCAAAAGCTAACAAAACCTTTAAACAGACTTATTAAGAAGGGATATAGTTACGATACTGTTGTCAGGTCATTAAAGATTGCATATTTTGGCTTTAATATTGATTCACTTATAGGGTCTTTGCATCGGAATTAAACATATTTATTCTAAAACCAGTTGTTGGCATGACACGGGTTATGTTCTTCTCATATATTTTATGACGGTATAATACTAAACCCCTAACAGGAGGGATTGTTCCTGATATTCATATGATGAAGACATAATCTTTCAATCAGTTTAATTGAGGTCTGGAGCTGGCATGTCAGTAACTGCTAGTAGTCTGTTGTTATTTATGTATTATTGTCATTTTGTTTATTTTCTTTTGTTTCCTATTCTGACATCGGACTCGGACTTCTCTTGAACTGAGTTTTACTGTGCGTACTGTTGTACGTTTGTTTTTTCTACATTGGCCAGAGGTATAGGGGGAGGGTTGAGATCTCAAAAAAACATGTTTAACCCCGCCGCATTTTTGCGCCTGTCCCAAGTCAGGAGCCTCTGGCCTTTGTTAGTCTTGTATCATTTTTAATTTTAGTTTCTTGTGTATAATTTGGGGTTTAGTATGACGTCCATTATCACTGAACTAGTATACATATTTGTTTAGGGGCCAGCTGAAGGACGCCTCCGGGTGCGGGAGTTTCTCGCTGCATTGAAGACCCATTTGTGGCCTTCGGCTGTTGTCTACTCTATGGTCGGGTTGTTGTCTCTTTGACACATTCCCCATTTCCATTCTCAATTTTATTTTCAAATAGTTTATCTCTGCTTTTCAGATTATACATTTTTTAGCCTGTTTGCGAAGGTGACACATCTGAAAATATCTGCGTATTGATCTCTTCATTACATTTTCAGGACAACAATTTCAGGTTAGTGTAATGTTCAAGGATATCTCCAGGCAACCCTTAATTTGTAGCTGAGAGTCATCGTCAATACATAGTCCACATTGAAAATGATGGTGGAGGTTTTACCAGGAAAAAAATCGTGAGGGTTCCGCAAAACCCAATGTTTTGCCTAATTTTGATATTTGTTGGAAGGATTTAAACGCCAGACAAAAAAATTAAAATCAGTGACATTCAAAAGGAAGATCGGAATAAAGTTTATAAAAATGACATAAAGGACACGTGAATACCAAATATCCTGGGAAAAAGATCTCGAATGATTAAATTATGTAGTCGATCGCAATGTAATTAATTGTATAACATGTGAAAAATGAGCAGGGTCAGACCGAGATAAGAAAGAATTATGTATTTTTGTAACGGGATTTTTAAATTTTAAGTTAGATTCTGCACTTGCCCATGAACAATCAGAACAGCACAAAAAATATACGGGAATAAAGGAGAAGATGCCAGGTTCAAAAATGTGTCGTGATGAAGTGATGTTCTAGGACTTATGAATTTAATTCGTTCCCTTCCTGCTCATGCGGGTGATGCAGAAAGGGGGTTTTCTGATATGAAACTTGTTAAGAAAAAAATGCGATCAAAATTCACCTGTTTTGTCAGATCTATTATTCATAATGTTTCACATTGAAGATGTAGTATCAGTTGATCCGGTCCCGGCTTTTGACATGTGATAAATATCTGGACGATTTGTCATTCCACTCGTCCGGCTGGCTAGTACATAAAAAAGCTTGAATTCGACCCCTGCGCAGGCAAAACAAACATGGTTAGTGAATGTATCGTAAGCTGGCCGAAAAAAAAAGAAGTTCACCTATCAGTAAAATATATGGATAAACAGAATTGGTTTTTTTTTACAAAATTTCCTTCTTGATACGGTCTTATGATTATGAACAAGTTTCTATCTAAGCTAAGTATACATCAAGGATATTTTAAGAAAATTATTAACATTTTAAATATTTTAACCACAGAGTGAATGTAAAGTTAACTGGCAAAAAAACTAAGTCCATTTTTAAGTAAAATACGGACAAACAGGCGTTATTTACAAAATTTACTTCTTGATACAATCGTATATGATCAAAAACAAGCTTCTGTCTTAGATTAATAGAAATTCACGATAGTTTAATATAGTTATTAATTTTTCACTACAGAGTGAATATTTGTGGACGCCGAGGTCGACGACGGAATGAAGGATCTCTCTTCTTGATTTTGCGACAAAAGTCGAAGCTCGACAAAAAGCGCACACTTTTTCTAATGGAATGTCAGCCATACCGATTGCAACTATTCTATGTCAATAGTGCGACTAACTTCATATAAAGGATGTCGATGCAAAAACCTCATCGTAAAACTTTTGACATACTTACACGCA